CCTAGGAATTTAGGTTATCAAATTTGGTGGCAAGTGTCTGTATCTGCTTAACCATCTCATTGGCCCCTAACACGACTTTAAAAAAAAACAACTCCCCTCTCTGCCTCCAAATCAGAGTCATGATGCATATATGCAACTTAGGAGGTAGAGACAAAAAGATAGTTTCAAGCTGGGTCAGCCTGTTCATATTAGTGAGTTCCTGGAAAGTTAGGGCTACATTGCAAGAACCCTTGGCTAAAGTGTCTATCAGCTTTTTATTAATAGCTGTATTAATGTTTCTAAAGAAAAAAATCCATCATACTGTATCACTATAGTCATAAAGGCAGGTTTTTATTTTTGTTTGGTGTGTTGCCAGGGACTGAATTCAGGCCTATTAACATTTTCCAGTTGAGAAGGGGAGGGTCAAGGATTCACTATTGGAGTAGGAATTTCTTTTCAGGGGCCGGAGAGATGGCCCAGCCGTTAAAGGCTAGGCTCACAACCAAAAATATAAGGAATTTCTTTTTGGGTAGCTGTATGTCTGTTGTCCATTGCTCCTTTACACAATCCCAATGAATTCACTTGACTTGGATGGAATACTTTTCTTTGATTAGATACCCTTTCCCTCTGGACTAGATAGATTCCCTAGAAGCCTAGGACAGTTATCTCTATGAGGGACTCTTCACTATCTAGCAAGTCTTCCACTGATCCCAGAGCCTATTGTTTTCACAACCTCAGGCTAAAATCTTTCTCTTTTAACCCTACATTATATCCATCCATCCAACACTGCTTTCTTATTCCTGACATTCAATGAGTCTATATTTTCTTTCCCATTTCTACAGTCTGCCTTTGCTATTGTCAAGTTTCATGAGAAAGTACTTGTCAAAGCGTTTTAAACTGTTCATGATTCCGTTTATTCCTTGGAAATAGCCAAGGATATGGTTGTCTGATTAAATGTTTTGAAAGTATCACCTGTTACCCCCACTTGCTTATATTCTTCTTCCTTTTATAAATGTTATTTTATTTACCTGGTGTTGGTACTCAAGTATCATGGTGTATGTTTGGAGGCCAGATAACAACTTGAAGGAGTTGCTTCTCTTTCCACCATGTGGGTCATCAGATCTTATTATAGATAGTTGTGAGCCACCATGTGGTTTCTGGGAATCCAACTCAGGACTTCTGGAAGAGCAGTCAATGCTCTTACCCTCTGAGCCATCTCTCCAGCCCTTTGTCTGTATTCTTAATAAAAAGCAAAGGACTAAGCTGTGTGAAATTGGTTTATAAAATGAAAAGGTTATTTCTGTTCTTCAACACAGAATAACGAAAGTGAAGGCCTCTACTTGAAATTCTCTTTCCCAAATGTCTTCACATCTCCTTCCTCTACTTCATTTAGATCTCTTTTTAAATATTGTCTATTCAGTGAAGTGGTTCTGGATCATTTTATTTCAAAGAATAACTTCTTATCATTTGTTCTGGTTGGGTTTTTTGTGGTTTATGTATTTATTCATCAGCTTTATGCAAGCCAGGATCATCTGGGAAAAGGGAACATCAAATGAGAAAATGCTTCCATCTGACTGGCCTACGGTTAGGGTCTATTGCGTTTTATTGATTAATGCTTGACATGCCATGGCCCAGTTCATTTGAATGTGTGTGGAGGGGGTAGATGTCCTAGATGGTATAAGATAGCAGGCTGGGCTACCAAGTAGTGGTGGCACATGCTTTTAATCCCAGCAGAGGCAGGTGAATCTCTGTGAATTCAAGGCCAGCCTGGTCTACACAAAGAAACCGTTTTGAGAACCGCCCCCCCATATATATGTATCTGTGTATATATCAACACACAATCATATAATAATGATGATAATAATAAAATATTTATTTAAAAAAAAAAAAGATGGCAGGCCGAGTAAGCCACGGAGAGCAAGCCAATAAGCAACACTCCTCATGACCTCTGCTTTTCTCAATAGACTGTGATCTGCACTACGTAAGCCAAATAAATCAGACTCCCTAAGTTGATTTTGTTCATCAACTGATGTAGAACATCAGTAGGACAGATCACTCCAACACCTTACCCCATGCCTTTCTAATTTAAAGCACCTGCTACTTCCTCAGATGTTCCATTCTTGTGTACTGCCAGATTTCTTCAAGCAGAAGTGAGCATGAACTTCAACCCTATTTGCAGAGGCAGGTGGATCTCTAAGTTTGAGGCCAGCTTGGTCTTCAAAGAGTTCCAGGACAGTCTGTAAACTTACCGAGAAACCCTACCTTGAAAAAACAAAAACCAAACAAACAAAAACAAAAAACCCCAAACCATAACTTGAACATTTAAGATGGCTTACTTAGTTAAATATGGTGCAATAATTATTATCAAGTCTGATGGCCTCAGTTTGTTTCCTGGAACCCATATAGGAGGAGAGAACCAATTCCTATAAGTTGTCCAGATCCCTACACATGCACAATGGCTCGTAAGTGCACAAAATAAATAACATACAGATTTTGAACACTAATTCATGGTATGTCAAAAACAAGGTCATAAAAGAACAATTTACAAATATCAGTATTCAGGTACTATAAAGTAGTTTTTGGTATATGACAGTCCCAGATTATAAGCTTCATTTGAGGGCCTGGTGGCAGTGGCACAAACCTTTAATCCCAACACTCAGGAGGCAGACACAGGCGAATCTAAGATGGCCAAAGCTACACAGAGAAACCCTGTCTCCAAAAAAACAAAAACAAAACAAAAACTTCATTAGAAATTATGAAAACTACCATGATTTGAAACTCTGGCTCAAATGGTAGGTTCCTGGTTTATGCAGGAGTAAGGGTACATCTGCTGCTGGTATTAGTGAGCTGTCCATTTAATTATGTGGCATTCCTCTGGAATTCCAAGAACTGGATTTGTTTCCCCCACCCCCAAATTATTAGCAGTTTAGAGTCCTTTTGAAAAATAAGAGCAAATTTAAGAAATTTAAGGATTATTGTTCCTTAAACTAGGGATTATGCTGGTTGGTCACTATTACTAAATAACAATATATCAACTATATAAATCAAACATAATTTACATTTTCAACTACTTTTCACTATTTCAGAAAGGGTATCAATGCTGTCTAATATGGCATTTTACAAAGAATAATGTTTGTTGACTTATGTATAAAATATACCTTAAAAGTCTTTGGCTTAGACCAACAGATATTTAATATCTTATGAATCAGCCCTGAGTAAAAATTCATATTTTTTATAAGATTTGAAAATGGACATAGTCTAAATTATGTAGTATTTACTTTTTTGAGGATTGATAGCATGGTTTAAATTTCAGCAATGAGCTGGGTATGGTGGTGCATGCCTTTCATTTCAGCACTCTACTGTTACACAGGTTGATCTCAGTCCCAGGCCAATCTCATCTAAGGAGTTCCCGGCTATCTAAGGCTACATAGTGGGACCTTATCTAAAGAAATGAAAATTATGACAATGAACTTGACAGTTATTTCTAGAAATTACATCACTAATCTATTTGGTTCCTCCAGCTCTTACACCAAGAATACATATCCACACAGTGCCAATTACATTCACACAAAGAACAACCTAGTGTAATTAAAAAAAAAAAAAAAAAAAAGTTGGACATGATGGCACACACCTTTAATCCCAGCAGAGACAGGTGGATTTCTGTGAGTTTAAAGCCAGCCTACAAAGAGAATTAATTCTAGAACACCTAGGGCCTTTAACACAGGGAAACCCTGTCTTGAAAATCAAAAAAGAAAAAAAATCTCTCTAACAAGAATATCATAAGACTCATTATAGTTTTGTAACTGAAAGATATCCCATTAAAAACTGAATCAAATTAGCTCCCTCAATGCCAATTAAATGTTTAATTTCTCTCAAAAAAAAGTTCTAGCTTTCAACATGCCAAGTCCTAGTATGTGGAAGAGTAGTAGGCCTGCACAATTGTGGGGCAGAGGTGAGCCATGACTAAGGAGAATAGCCATTACCATACATGAAGAGAAGGGAGGGACTGGAAAAGACCTTTAGGAGAGCATAAATGGTCTATTACTTTTCAGTAGTTTGCAATTATGACAAAAGGTAATTTCTCCTAACATATATAAATAGCTTACTTTCATTAATAAATTTACTGATTTATAATCTAAATAAAAATAAGCAAATATAGGTTGCCTGTGAAATAAAAAAGGCACATGAAATGTGTTGTGGAAGATGTGTCACACCGATTTGTTTAATAAAGAGCTGAATGGCCAATAGCTAGGCAGGATTTCCAGGTGCAGAGAATGCTGGGAAGAAGAAAGGCAGAGTTGAGAAACATGGAGGAAGCAGGAAAGCAGGACAGACAGTATGTAGATGAAGTGACTGATCCTTGGGGTACCACATACATTAATATAAATGGGTTAATTTAAGTTATAAGAGGTAGCTAAAAACAAGCTGAGTTTCATGATTAATAATTCTCCATGTCATAATTTTGGAGCTGGCTGGTGGGACAGAAAAAAAAAATCTGCCTATAGAAATGAGCACTTTAATACAAATAATCATATTTAAATTATATATAAATCTACACATTAGGCAGGACTATTAAAATTTGCTTTGCAGAATATCATTGTTAAATACTATTTCCAAAGGGAGTCAAGGGGAAGAGTTTGATGATGACTGTGAAACAGGCTCTCCCATTACAATGCTGCTTCTGTCATTTAGCGTTCTGACAGCAGTTATAGCTGGAGACTGAAGTACTTTGCGAGAAAGCCTCATTCTTCCATCAGCTGGGTCACGGCCAAAGTATTTGACCTATGTTAAACAATTTAAAGTTGACATGTAATTTCAAAGACATTTAAATTTACATGGTACAAATAAAGCACTTATTAATATTTGTATATGTCTAATAAAATCAGTAATATGTAGAGGCACACTCAATAAATATCTAGTAAATAGCTGTTACAAAATGACAAAAAGAATCAAAGCATAGTTCCCTGTTGTAATCCCAGCATTCAACAGGAAGCTTGAGTTTGACTCTAACCTGAGCTACTTTCTAAAACAAACCAACCAATAGAAAAAAAAAAAAAAGAGAGCAGACATTTAGTTTTTCAAATTAGAGTCTTCTGGTAAACTGTGTCTTTATGGTTTCTAGGTCCCTATACTGTAAGACCAAGTCACAGTTCAGATAAGGGCTCTGTATTTTCTCTACTACTCGGGGCCTATTGCATTAAGAGTACACTTTTCCATGAAGAAAGCAAACAAGGGGAAAATGCAACAGGCTTAAAATCCCCTTGGATGAAAAGCACAAACATTAGTGGAGGGAGGCTATCATGGGCCTCATCTTTTCCCCAGAGCTACTTAACAATAGGAGCAATCGATGGGGAATAAACTCGTGGCCTTACTCAGGTATAAGGAAAACACACACAGATCACCAACAATTTCTATTAATGACAGAGGACTACAAGACAGGGCCAGTTTTATTATCAGAATTCTAGACCCCAGCAACATTAAGTTAAGAAACATTTAACGTCAAGTACAGTCTCCATCAGAATTCTAGACCCCAGCAACATTAAGTTAAGAAACATTTAACGTCAAGTACAGTCTCAACTGCTAAAAGATGACAGGGCTTTCAATCATGTAATCAAGTCCAAATGGCAGTCTATATCAGTGGGAGTTCTTATTCTAGTCCTTCAAAAATACTAATTGGAACTTGAAGTACAATTCATAGCTTTTTAAAGATAATATATTGAACACAAGTACCTGAATTTCTTGGCCCACTTCTAATCCTAGGGCAGTGGGATGTTTAATCTACAAAAAAGTTAATTAGTTATATGTAATTACCTAGTAATCACAGAAGTAAATACCTCTCCCCAAGTGAAAGTTTTGCTGGTGAAATCTATTAATTACAAAGACTGAAAACAACAAAAATAGAAGAAAATGAAAACCACCCAAAACTATATGTAGATAACTACTGTTACCACATCAGTGTCTACCCTTCAAATGTCTGTTTACTGTGCACTGATAAACATGGGCTGGGATACAGCTCATTCAATACATTACTATGTTAAGAATGTTCTTTCATATGAATAACTGAAATATGATAAGTGAATATTCAAACTATAGTCCTTTAAAAAGGGCTATTCTATTTCTTTACATCTCATTATTGCAAATATTAGTGGCTGGTATACTTAAACTATTGCTAGGCAAAATATATAATTCTCAATAATTTAGGTAATTTTAATATTAGTTATTTTTAACAATTATAAAAAGTCAAGTTCTGGGCTGGGGAAATGGCTCAGAAGATGAGGACACTTGCACAAAAACAAGGACATGAGTTCAAATCTCTGACATCTGTATGAAAAGCCAGGAATAGTTTACCCATGTAACTGTGACCCCAGTGCTGTAGGGAAAGAGACAAGGGAAGATCCTTGGGACTTGCTGGCCACCAACTTAGATGAGTAGTGACAAACTACAGGCAGTGAGAGACCAAGTTTAAGGAAATGAGATGGGAGTCCCACAGCATACCCTATGCCTTCCTCTGTTCTGTTTACACATGTGTACTCACACAGTGCATACTCACTACACATACACACAAATCTAGCCTTCCTTTTACCTTCCGCTGGTCGAGTTGTGAGTTATGAAGTAGCACAGCAGTCATGTTTGGGTACAGTTTTACCATTACTCCAGTGTCTCTATAAAAAGACATAAAAGACATCAGCTTAGTTAAAACAAGAAGTATTTGTACAAACAGAAGATGCTCTCACAGATGCAGGGTGTCAAACAAATCTCTAGACTACATTCTAGGATATATTGTTTTTGTTTTTTTGTTTTTGAGACAGAGTCTCTCTATAGCCCTGGAACTCACTATGTAGACCAGGTTATCCTCGGCCTTACAGAGATGTGCCTGCCCCTACCTCCTGGGTGCTGGGAACAAAGCTGTGTACCACCGGGCCTGGCTTCTAGGATACATTCTATGAATATAAAAATTATGACATTATGACTGTAGAACATATGGTCCTCTTTTCCTCTGTCTCTTTGTCTCTGTTCCTCCCTTTCCTGTTTCATAGTACTTGGGACTGAACCTAGGACCTCATGCACAATAAGAGTGGTAGTCCTGAGCCCAAATACTTCTTTTTCAATAGGAAAATATGCCCTATATTTAAATATTTGCAACTCAAATGACCAAGAAAGATTAAGGAAAAATTTTTAGATTACATATTCACCTATGTCTCTCTTCAGAATTTATAAAATTTTATTATTTTAGATTTATTTAACATGTTTAAATGTCTTGCCTATAAGTGTATATGTATGTCTATGTACCAGTGTGTGCCTAGTACCTGTGGAGGTCAGAAGAGGGCATCAGATCTCCTGGAACTAGAGTTATGAATGGATGGCTGTGAAAAGTTCTTTTCCTTTTTTCTCTAGTCTGAAAGCAACCAATTGTATTGCTTAGTTTTCACCTATAACGTTAAACAGATTACCTCATTCTTTTATTAATTTTAAAAAACTTTAAATAAATATTCTAAATAATTTCTTCCTTTTTTTTTAAAGTGGCATTTTTGAGATAATTTCAGCTGGTAAAAATTCTTTGAGGTCGAAAGTGACTTGAAAATATGTGCTAATTAAATACCAAATAATAGCTGTAGAAACAATAATAACAGAAAGGAAAATACTAATTTGTATATTTAGGCTTACAGTTTTTGGGGAAAATAAAATTGGTGGAAAGTGTGGTTTAAAAATAAAATACAGACCTTTAATACCAGCACACTAGAGACAGAGGCGAGTTTGAAGCCAAGATATCTGTGAGTTTGAAACTAGCCTGGTCTACAGAACTAGGTCTAGAACAGCGTCCAAAGACAAAGAGAAACTCAGCCTCGAAACCCCCCAGTTTCCTCCAAAAGAAAGAAAATAAAATATGGTAAAAAATTTGGTTTAAAAAAAAATTCTGGCAAAAGAATCTAGAATAATTATATAACTATGGAAAATTACAATGTCACAGAAAATAAAATTAGCTTAAAAAAAAATTATATGGGACTAGGGATGTAGAGGACCCACATGTCCATGGTTTGATACCCAGCACTACAAAAAACAAGTCATGGTGGTGCACTCCCAGCATTCCAGAGGTGGAAGCAGGAGGATCAAAAGTTCAGAGTTGGCTGGAGAGATGGATCAGCAATTAAGAGTACTGGCTCTTTTTCCAGAGGACTTGGGTTTGAGTCTCAACATCAACATGGATGCTCACATTTGTCTGTAACTCTAGTTCAAGGGAATGTGATGCCTTCTTCTGCTTCTGTAGGTACCAGAAACACATGCTGCAAGACATACATGTAAGCAAAACAACCATATCTATCTCTATCTCTATCTCTATCTCTATCTCTATCTATCTATCTATCTATCTATCTATCTATCTATCTATCTATCTATCTATCTATCTAAAGATAAACACAACAAAACACAAAAGGGAGTAGGGCTGGAGGGAAGTTCAGTGGTTAAGTGCATGCACTTCCTGGTCTTACAGAGAACTCAGATTCAATTCCCAACACCTGCCTAGTGGCTCACAATCACCTAACTCTAGTCTCCAGCAATTCAACATCCTCTTCAGGCACTGCATGGTGGGTATATGCAGGCCAAACATCCGCACACATAAGCATAAAGAGAGAGAACAGTTATTCCCAGCTACATACAAATCCCCCTTCCTTCCCTGCCCCCCCCACAGTTATTGGCATATATCTAAATACAAAGTGAATTTGGGTTTGCAGTAAAAAGCAAAACCCATTGTTTATTTATAATTACCTGATTTCAGTTATTGTAGCGGTATAAACGGCTCCAAATTCTAATTGTTGCTCTTGCTGTAAAGTGAAAAATAAATTATTAGGTTAAATAAAGCTAACAGTAAAAAGTAGGGGAAAACTATCCTAAGATCTATACTTACATCATCTCTGCAAATATCAGTAATGAAGTCTCTTGCCTCATGCATTGCACTAGGTGTTGGTGCAAATATGGAGAAGGTTTCTTCATCAACTTGACTAATTGTTACACCTTAAGAATAAACCCAGCATCATGGTGAGGGGTGCAAAAGACAAAAAAAGAGGTAGCTTAATATGTTAAATTTAACAAGCTCATGCCAAAGGAGACTAATCAAGAGTGAGCATAGGAACAAGGAGGGCTCTGAAAGCAGCTGGGTTTGGTTTCTGTGTCTATGCTGTTTTCTAGTGAAGGAATCACTTGCTATGAAGTACACAGTGATGTCCTGCCAGGTGCTGGGCATTTCCCGTGGATTTAACAGCGAACGAACCACGTCCTAGCATAGCAGGGCTTATTTTTTAAGGCTTTTAATTATGCTCTTTAATTATGACTAGAAACTGTAGCAGAATGCTTTCAACATCATTTATTTTTTTCATTCCTTAAGAATTAATTATTCAGTTTCTCACTCCTAACATTGGTTAAGGCCACTCTGCCTCTTGTTTTTTAACAAGCCTAAACTACTAGTTCATCCCAATATTGCTTCTAGAAGAAACAAGTTAAAACAGGACATATACTCTTGTTTTTGTTTGTTTTGAAACAAAGTCTCAAATAAATGTGCACATAGCTGGCTGTCTTGAAACTTAATATGGCTAATCTGGAGCTCACTGAGAGCACTCACTGTGCCCCTCAGTGTACCTGGCCTCTATGTACTCTTTAAATAAAAGGACCTAAAGGAAACCAAGTCCAAGCTGCACAAGTAGGAGTACTTACTGAGTTACAAAATACTACACATTATTCGGGAATGTTAAATTTTAAATGTGAAAAGAGTATGATGGATTTTTGTCATCTTTTTTCTGAGACAGGGTCTTGCTACGTTTGTCCTCCAGGCTGTCATCAAATACTGGGATCATGCACATGGCCTACCATGCTGCTTTATCCTGCTACAATATAGTTGAGTATTAAGATGTGCTAATTTACAGAAGAATCACACAGAAAACTCACAGGGAAGAAATCTTGAACTTTTATTCTGATCTTTCTCTTATCTCTCAAATAACATTTTGGGAGTAACATAATAGAGATGAAATATCAAACATGGTTTGGCATTTAATAATACTCCCAAACTTGAGACAACTTTTACCTGTGTCAGCCTGAAGTTTTTTTAAGTGAAATCCACCAGGTCCAACAAATTTTGCTCGTTTTGATAATGGAACCTTAACTGTTTCTGAAATGTAATACAATGATGTAAAGAAGACAAAAATATATGAACCTATACAAATCTTTCATTATGAAATAGAAGAAATTTGTTATGATTAAAATTATTGAAAAAAAAGTACAAAAAGTATGTTTGGTTTTCTTTCGATATCAACAAATTTATTTTCAAAGTGATATATAAGAACACAGAAATTTTATGTATTTATCATGAGTGATGTTTTAATACTTGTAAGCATAATTGTTCTCACCTTTCCATTTCTTTATGGAAAGAACATTTTAAATATTTTGTCTAGGGCTGGTACGATGGCATGGGCTGCCAAGCCTGACAGCCTGAGTTCAATCCCAGGACTCATACGGCACAAGGAGAATCAATTCCCACAACTTAGCTCTGATTGCCAGACACACAGTGTGGCTGGCCTGTGCATCCTACCCACTTGCACATACAAATAAATGAATGATTGCAACAGAATCCTTTTCTTTGAAAGTATTTAGTAATAAAAGTACTTAAATATTTTTATTTTGTTAAGAGAAAAATATTTTAAAAGTAGTAACAAATGTTTAAACATTAATGTTTATCAAGCCATCAGTAATAATTTTAATGTCTTACCTACAACTGGTCCATTTTCTTTTCTAGATGTTCGAGGTTTTGAAATTGCCCTGCTCATTATCTGTAATATTTCCTTCTTGGCCACTAGAAAAAATATCAACAGAATTAAAGTTGTAATCCCATCAACTAAGTGTGACCTGCAAGTTTCACTCTCGGTTTTTCTGATGTACAATTAAAACACTCACTCTGTACTGGAAGCTCTTCATATTCCAATTATCTTAAAAAGTAATTTCTATTCCTCATTCACTTCCCTAAACTCCTAGCTTAGAAAATTAAAATTTCACTGTTCTTTCATTTGGGTAGTACGTCATGTGATCAATAATGAATACTTGATCCTGTTAAGTTACAGGGCTCCATTCCTCTCGTTTTGAAGGTACCAGGCATCTGACTCCATACAAGCAAACATTCTTCGTCAGCTACCCTGGTATGTTAGAGCGAGCTCAGTGGGAACTATAGGTGCCATTAACAAACCAGACAGAAATGAGAGCAGCATAAGGTATATTGACTTACCTGATGCTTGCTGAATGGCTTCCATTACAATTTTAATTGGTATTCCAGGTAATTTAATATCAGCCTAATATAGAACAGCCAAATAAATAAATAAGTACACGCTAGCCCACACCACTATTTAAATATTTTAAAAAATGACACAAGATGGTACCTGTAATGCAGTTATTCCCTTATTTGTACCGGCTATTTTGAAATCCATGTCACCATTGTAATCCTCAATTCCCTTGAACAATTCAAGAAATTATGGTAAAGTTAAAAAAAAAAAAAACAAAAAAAAACACACAATTCACCCATAGTCACTGTAGAAGAATTTCAGGTGCTAGCTCTGGAAATAAGCTGCATCCTTTAACACTAAATGCAGGTGGAAGTAAGCTGCATCCTCTAGCATTAAATGCAGGAGCCACCTCTGCTGCTTGGCTGCTGCTCCAGTACACAAAGCCTGTCATTGGAAATATCATCTTATGTTTAGCTCATGCCTCTTCCTAATAAAAACATAAAAATTAATTTACAATTGCCCCAAGGGAGTCATTCTGGATAAGTATATAGTAATATATATCCTTTAAAATTTGAGGCAAACAGAGGAAAAAAAAACACTGCATCTCTACTCCTGAAGTACAAGCATTCTTCCAATGGTTTTCACCCATCCTAATACTGAGACTCTTTTAACACAGTGGTTCTCACCCTTCCTAATGCTGCAACCCTTTAATATAGTTCCTCATATTGTGCTCACCCCAACCATAAGATTATTTTTGTTGTTACTTCGTAACTTTAATTTTGCTACTGTTATGAATTGCAATGTAAATATCCTGTTCCACAACAGTCTTAGATGATTCCTGTGAAAGTGTCATTTGAACCCCTCCAAAGGGGTTGGTACCCACAGGTTGAGAACCACTGTTCTAGCCTGAGGCTTCTATTTGCTTTTTTTAATTTGGAAGGGGGGGATACAGGGTCTCACTACATGGCTCATGTTGGCCTGAACTTGTTATGTAATCTAGGTTAGACTAAGACTAGTGATTTTTCTGCCTCTGCCTATACAGGAATATGCCACTATAACTGGCCTAAGCATGTACTTTTAAATAACACTTGTAAATATTTCAAACTTGCCAGAATATCTGTCAGCAAACGATAATCTTCTATTTCCCCTTTCTCTGGATTGGTTTTGGTAACCAATCCCACTGCTACACCTGCAACAGCAGATGAAATTGGGACCCCTATAATTAAAAAAAGAAAAGAAAAAAAGTTTGTGAATAATCAACACAAAACAAGTTGAAACTCTTCTGTTGATATTATTTTAAATGTTAGGCAATGGTATTCTCTAAGTCACCAAATCAAGCTGAAAAATCCCTATCTTACTTCCTTTTGACCCTTTAATAATAACTTGTAAAGAGGCAGATAATAACTATATTTGGCAAAACCTGACAGCAAACTCTTAAGTTATCTATGCTCTATTTTGCTTTTTGTTCCTTCTTTGAACCCTGTATTTGGTAAATTTTCTAAGCCTGAACCTTTCAGTTCACTTCCCCACAGCAGTACTATGAGAAGAGCCTTCTAGAAAATTTCTATATACAACTGTAAATGTAAACACAATCTTTAAATTCTTACTCATGAGAAATATGATGTATGCATTATCTGGTACCCTGCCCTTTATATCTAATAGCAAACCTATTGCATATTAATCCCCATACATGTAATGAATAAATATTAAAAAGTATGTTTTCTTTATTATTTTGAGATATGATTTTACTATGTCGTTGGGTGGTTTTAAGCTCACAATCTCCCTAACATAGTCTCCCAAGTGCTATGGTTACAATATGAAGTATGCACCACCATGCATGGCTCCCATATATGAAACAATTTTTAAATTAAGACGGGAGTTCATTGTGTAGTCCTGGCTAACCTTGAACTCACAGAGATATGTCTGCCTCTGCCTTAGCAGTACCAGAATTGAAGATATGGTACACCATTCCCAGATAAAACACAATTTTTAAATTTTTATTTTATGTTGTGTATTTAAGTATAGACACATGTGATATTTTGCTTATGATCTAACAAATAAAGCTTGCCTAAAGATCAGAGCTCTAAGCTGGTGACACTAGTTAGCCATAGAGGTCCGGCAGTGGTGGTACACACCTTTAATCCCAGCAATTGGGAGACAAGGCAGAGGGATCTCTGTGAGTTCAAGGCCACTCTGGGCTACACAAGACTGAATCTGTCTAAAAGAGACATTGCTCACACAAAGGTGATCTCAACACTTGGGATCCCACGCCTTTAATCCCAGCATTAGGGAGGAATATAAGGTGGGAGAAGACAGGAGCTCAGTGCAGTCTGAGGTTTGGTGGGAACTAGTGTGAGGACAGGATCACCATTTTGGTCTGAGCATTGGTAGAGGTGAGAACTCTCTAGTGGCAGGCTGCTTTGCTTCCCTGATCTTCAGTTTTAACCCCAATATCGGTCTCTGGGTTTTTATTATTAAGACCAATTAGAATTTGTGTTCTTCTTTGTGCATGTGGAGATCAGAGGACAACTCTGTGGAGTCTGTTCTCTCCTTCCACTCTGTGGGAACATGGGATCCAACTTCCATCATTAGGCCTCTATGCACTGTACTGAACCATCTATTCTGATATGCCATAGGAGTTAAAAGAGCTTAAAAGGGTGTAGATGCTTATACTTGTTCAAACTACCTTCCAAAGATCTATACTTCAATGTGTGCGCATGCGTATGTGTATTAGATACAGGGCCTCACGTGGACCAGGATGGCTTAGAATTTGTTACACAGCCAAGGCTGTCTTTGAACTCTACAGTTTTACTTAATAATTCTTGTTATTTTTGCTAACTGAAAAAGTAAAAATGGTTATTTTAAAATATTTATTTGTTGGTTTCTTTTTGATTTATTTAATGTGGCACAATTTTATTTTGTTTTGTTATTTGTCTTTTCGTACTGACTTGTATGAATTCTTGAAAACCTTTTCTTCTCTAAATGCTGTAGGAGCGCTTCCATTTCAAGCAGTAGATTGCTATTATATTAAAATGTGTTATTGCTTAGCTTGTTCACTTTGATAACAGTGAGGGTTTTGGGGGAGTAAAATTTTTAGTGTATGAAATTATGGTTCCTAGAATTTACTTACAAAGACATTTCTTCTCCAAGTTTTGGTAAAAGCCTTTTGTTTTCTCTCTTTTCTTTAAAGTTTTGACCACTTGGAATTTATTTCAGAATAAAGGAATGTGAAGGATAACTCCTTTCATTATAAGCTACCTTACCTATACTTTTGGTTTTAACTACTACTGCACTGATGTCTTTTTTTTTTATTTTTAAAGATTATTTTACTTTATGTATGGGTGTTTTGCCTGAATGTATGTCAGTGTACCAAGTGTGTACCCGCCCACTGCCAGTGGATACTGGAAGAGGGTAATGGATTCCCTGGAACTCAAGTTACAGATGCCTGTGAGCCACCATATGGGGTTCTGGGACCAAATCCAGGCCCTCTACATAAGCATCAAGTGCTTTTAACCAATGAGCCACCTCATCAGCAATTCCTACAATGGTATCTCAACTGCCTATTCCCTCAACCTGGATCCCTTGGCCACGGCCTGGATCTGCTTAGACAAACTGTTTCCTGGAGTTTTCTTATGAAATACAATTAATAAAACTCTCCATAACCTGCTCTTAGGTTTGTTTGTTGTGGTGATGGGTGTGCTTAAAGCAAATGCTCCTGCACACTAAGTAAGCACTGCGTCACTCGGTTATACCTGCAAAATGGAGATTGGTTAAAGACTGATTTTTCTAATCATGCGTATGAGTGTGCTATACTTGGGGGGTAAGAGGTGCTGATGTTATAAGCAGAAGTGGGTGCTGGGAACTGAACTTGGTCCTGTACAAAACCAGTATATACTCTTAACTTCTGGGCCATCACCCTAGCCCCAAGCTGGGGAGGATCCAAAAATGTTTAGGACATTTGGGTGGTTTGGATGAAGCTCATAGACTCATATTTAAACACCTGATCCCCAGTTTGTGATGCTGTTTGGGAGGTGGTTAGGCCTTATGGGAGGCAGGCTTTGAGAGTTCATAGACTGGCCCATTCCTAGCTTGCTCTGTTTTCTTTTTGCAGTTGAAAATATGCTCTCTCAGATTCCTGTTCCTGCAGACATGCCTGACACTTGCTGCCATGCTTCTGTTTGCCATGATGGATTCTTATCCCTCTGGAATTGTAGGCCAAATCAAACCCTTTACTTTTTATAAGTTGCTTTGGTAATATTTTATCACAACAACAGGAAAGTAACTAATATAGACACAGTTTATATACTGTTCCTAGAGATTCAGTGTTCATATTATTAAACTACTCATTTAAAAAAGATTTGCTTATGGTGTGGCTCATGCTTGCAATCCTAGGACTTGGGAGGTAGAGGCAAGAGAATCAGAAGTCCACTGTCTTGGATTGATCTTTGTCCACAGTCTTAAAATGTTTTCTGGTACGGTATGGTGGCATATTCTGTAATCTGGTCAGCCTTGTCTACATAGCAGGTTCTAGGTTACCCTGAACTATATAACTCTCTCAGGGGTGATACGGGTAGGGGTGAGGGCGTAGTCTTTTATCTTCCAAATAGTGTTTTCCAGAGTTCTTTAGAGATAGGTTCTTACTATGTCACTTTGGAGTTCTTTAGAGATAGGTTCTTAGTATATCACTTTGGCTGGCTTTGAACTCAGAGATCTGCTAGTCTCTTTCTCTGAAGCAGCTTGAACATATAAGACCTTAAAGCCCATCCTACACTGAGTGACACACTTCAACCAACAAGGTGGACTCCCTATGAATCAGGCATTCAAACACATAAGAGTCTCTGGGGGCCATGCTTATTCAAACCACCACAGAGGATGAGCCAAAGAGGAAGTGAAGCAGTCATGTGAGTGTATTTTAATATTACTTAGAAACATTATCACTTGGTACACAGTCTCCTACTACTGCTTCTGGATCAAGTTGTAGAACTCCCAGTCTTCCTCCATGCTGCCATGCTCTCCACCATGGTGATTATGGACTGAACCTCTCAACTATAAGCCATCCAATTGTTTTTCTTTGTCAGAGTTTTCTTTGTCATGGTGTCTTTTCACAGCAATAGAAATCCTAACTAAGACATCCTCCTTTTTGCATTTAATATCTGTGTTGAGAATTTTACAACTTAGCAGAGAAATCCTTGTGTATCCTCTCTAGTAACTTTGGGCGCCTCTGCCCTTTCTTTTTGAGTGCACTGTAACTGTTTGCCAGATAATGCTTTTTTCTTTTAGTATCACAGACGGGGATTGCATCAAACTACTTTCAGTATACCTTCCTATAATTTTGAGCACATTTTTGGGGTGCTACTCTCTCCATGGCTACTGTGCACTGACTTAAAAGATTATAGCGTTGCTTTGTCTTATGGATTCTAATGCTTTTGTTAACGAATTGAAATTGCTTTATTGACTGGAATCAATTCTGGAAAGTCTCCACTTTTGGAAGGGGAGAAAGTTCACTGGGTCACCAAGGCAAGTATATAATTTTCAGTGTATTAGAAATATTCAGTCTTTTAGTTGAAAATAAGAACTTCAGCCAATATCTTTCTGGTGTTCTACTTTGTAATTATCTTGTGTCTGGCCTGGGTTGGTAATCTATAATCTGATTTTAACTTATTAAATCCAATTTAAACAAATCTTTTATTCTGTGGCAAAGAAATATACATATATATATATATATATGTGTGTGTGTGTAATATACATGTAAAATACTAACAGCTTTGAGACATAATTTTTTACCTGCATCCATTAATGCCAAACTTCCACCACAAGCAGATGCCATAGAAGATGACCCTATTGGAAAAGAAAAAAAAAGAAAAAGAAAAGAAAAAAAGAACCACTTGTACCATATGATTTCTTAAAATGTAGAAAAATGACTGGTGTCATCTCCTTATAATACATCACACTTGAACATAAACAGTAGAAAACAGTCAATAGTCTTTTCTTTCTTCTTTGTAAAATCACTTCAGGGGCTGCAGAGATGACTCTGGGTAGGATTGTTTTCTTTGTAAGTTTGGATCCCTAGCACCCATAATAAAAGGCTGGGTATGTGGCCATATGTGCATGGAACTCTGGTGCCATGAGGTGCAGAAGCAGGAGGGTTGCTGTGGCTTGCTGGCTGCCAGCCTAGCTCCAGGATCAGGGAGAAATCTTGTATCAAAGGAATAAGGTAGCAAGTGATAGAGCAGGAGATATGATTTTCTTCTCTGGTTTCTGTGTGTCTGCCAACCCTACCCCTCACAGTCACACCTACAACCACACAAATATATAAACAAATAAATAATATAAAGACATTTAAGTCAATCTCTCCTAAGTTACAAAGTATGTAGCAACACGGCACAATATGGTAGTCACTACCCAACAAATAATTTAGTTTCTCTACTGAGTATTGAATAAGATTCCCATTATTATGAAGCATTCAATTGTGCAGTTTTGCTGCAGAGATTCTGAGCACAGGAAACTTCCCAGAAGGAGTAGCAATATTTTTGTTGCCTTAATCAGTAGATACAGGGGCCCTAGCTCTCTCACTGAATCAGAAGTCCAGTCACCACTAGTGGAGAACAGAAAAAGTCTTTAATTTAGAGGCTGAGCTAACTTTGGTGTTGCCCTGAAATCTGTGACCACCTGACATGACTGCTACCCATGAAGAATCCTGCCTCTTCCATCTCAGTGACTATACCTAGTCTTTATACAAGGACTAATTTAATCTATTAAACTTTGACCTCTTAGCCTCATTTCTTTCTTGGTATTCAGTTATTTATTATTTATCTCTCATATGTAGCAGCTATCCTTTGCCTGATGGATTCCTATCCAAGCTTAACTTGCTCTGCTATTTGTTTGTAAAAAAAAAAAAAAAAAAAAAGTACAGTTACCCAAATTTGGTGTATTACACCAAGAGAAATAACTTGTTTTTAAAGAGCTTTCAAAAGTTAGTATCTAAGAACAGATTCAAAATAAGGGTGTGATCAATTTAACATATTTTCTCATGCAGCAGGCCTTAGACTCTGTAGAAGTAATCATGACAACACAGCCTTAGGAAAGTGAAGATTGTATCAGGGAGTCTAGTCTTCTCTAGGAAAGAAACACTCCAATATCATACCATTTGACTCAAGGACTTCAGACGTGACTCTTATGGTAAAAGGAAAGTCTTTGGGAATAACAGGACATAACGCTTTCTCAGCAAGAGCACCTAAATCAGAACACACAACAATGAGCAAAATGCACTAAGTCTTTCTAATAATACAATACAAGCTAAGAACTGTACTCACCATGCCCAAGTTCTCTTCTATTCATACCACTAATTTTGCCAGTTTCATTGGTTGCATAAGGAGGAAACTTCAAAACAAAACACACACATGTAAGTGATATGGAAAGATGCCTAAGATACAGTACCAAAACAACAAAATAAATTATAATAGAATCCCACTTTTATTCTAAAAAGTATATTATCCACCCACCCACCCATCCATCCATCTATATATAAATCTATCATGTATCCATGTACTTGTCTGTTTGGAAGATGTCTGAAAAATATGATGTACCACATTACTAAAATTAGCTTTTTGTACTGTGTAAGTAGACTAGAAGGTTGGAAATTTATTTCTTTTAAAGATCTATTTATTTTTAGTTTATATATACAAGTGTTTTGCCGGCATGTATGTCTGTGTACATGTATGCCTGGTGCCTATGGAAGCCAGAAGAAGGTGTTGGACTTGAAGTTAGAAGTGGTTATAAACCACCATGTGGGGAGTTGGGAATAGGGACTTATTGACCGGAAAGCTACTCATCTACATCTCTTTTCTAAGCAATAAAACAATTACTAAATCAGCCTTCACGGACAAATGGTAAAACATTAATGGGAGTGGGCACACAATCAAGTTCTCTTAGTTTTTATGTATTCTAGAAATTTTTCACATTAAAAATGTTGGGGGAAAAAATGATCTTACCTCATAGTGTAGCATGAAATTTTTATCTTTTACCCCACTATAAGAAAAAGGAATAATATTAAAAACATTATAAAGACATAAACAAATTTACTTCCATAAATCACTAAAAATGATTTCTCATGCTTTTAGAAAAATAACTGAGTATTGATGAATAAACCCTGAAGAAGGAAATTTTTTTGTTTGTTTGTTTTTTCACAGTCCTTTGCTATGCTGTCCAGGTTGGTCTCAAACCCCTCACTTAGGCAATGTTCCTGCTTTAGCCCCTTGAGTGGCTGAGAGAAATGTCTGCATACAGCTGGGACTTACAATTGAATTTTAAGATTGATTGTGGAAAAAATTTTTCTTCAAAAGAAAAAAAAGTATTTTGTTACTGTTTTTCAGAGACAGGGTCTCATGTATCTAGGCTGCCCTCCAATTTGCTATGTAGTCAAGGACAGCCTTGGGCTGGCTCCTGCTCTTCCTGCCTCTACCTCCTCCTCAGTGATCTGACTACAGATGTGCACCACTGTGTCCGATTTGGGTGATGACAGAGACTGAATCCAGGATCTTGTTTACATAAGGAAATACTCTACCAACTGAGCTACAAACATTTCCAGTCTCTAAACTGTTTATTATATACATGAAAAACGGCAGTGGAAGTAGCAATCCTGAAAACTTTAGGGGATACTACTATCAGTTAGGCAGGAAGGCTATGAGTCTCAAGACCATGATGCAGTGGGGCTGCTGGAGACACTACCTTAAGCAAATGAACAGTTTTACTACTGCGTTTGTAGAAATAGGAGGGAAGCACAAAATTTCATTATCAGTTGAGACCAGACCGTTTTCATCAATAGTCTCTGGCTTATTTTAGTACCTGGAACTCATTCTTATAATACAAAACTTATACAAGATTACCTGAGAAGTTGGTCCTGGGGCATGTTTTTAAGGACATAAGCTAAACAGTATCACATTACAGAAGGAATGTTTTGCAAATGTGGTCCAAACCATCTATTTAGGAGAAAACATGGTCCACCAACAAAGAAGTATCCTTTACAATTCTGACTGTGTAGACAGAAAACAAAGTATACAGAGACACAGCCTATAAAAGTAATAACCAAGTTAGCTATGGTGACTCATAGCTATAATCAGAAGGTTGAAGCAATCAGAAGGTTGAAGCAGGGTGATTGCTATGAACCCGAAGCCAGCCTGAGCTACAGACTAAGGCCTTATCTCAAAAGAGCAAACAAACAGAACAGAGTTTGCTAGTGACGACAGTAGAATAACATACACAAAAAAAGACTATTTATCAAAAGAACACAAAATATAACATAGAATATAACTTACTTTATAGCTGTTATAATTTGATCTGACTTAATACTGGATTCTAATGAATCAAATGTAACAGTACAGAGTACCTAAGAAAAGAACAAAATTATTCTTTAAACTTTAAAATAGTAACAACAAAGATTAAAACCAAAAGGAAATATTCAGGTATATGAGTATACATACATACAAACATGCAGATATAGTTTGTTCATCTGCTCATTTTTGTTTTTGTTTTGTTTTGGTTTTGTGTGTGTGTGTGTGTGTCTGTGTTTGTGTGCTGGGGACTGAAGTAAGGGCCTTGCATACTAGATATACTCACAGCCCAAACTAAAAATATCTGGCAAACTTAATTCTTCTAAGAGAAAAAAGGGTATAAAATACAAATACATACTTAATGCTAGCCATAGCAGTTATTACAGTAAATATATATTCACCCTGAAATACTCAAGCTGATTGTAAATCTCAACAATCCAAAAGGCTAACACATAGCCTAAGTATGGCTCACTAGGGCTGCTGAGGGAGAGAAAGAGGAAATGTTATTCCATAAAAGAAGCCTCAACAGAGGTTCAGTTAAAAAACAAAACAAAACAAAAAACCTGTCTGGGGCAGAGCAGTGGTGGTGCACGCCTTTAATCCCAGCACTCTGGAGGCAGAGGCAGGTGGATCTACAGAGCTAGTTCCAGGACAGCTAAGGCTGTTACACAGAGAAACCCTGTCTCAAAAACAAACAAACCTGCCTTTTTAAAGAAAAGTTAATCTTTGTAGATTTAAAACACAGCATAGAGACTGATTCACAGTACAACATTCCCAAGGTTCAACATCAGCAGCAAGAAGCAGGAAACATCCTTAAGAGAAAAGATGAGGAATGGAGCACAACTCCCAGCTAAAATCTGGATTAACATCAAAGACTTCTTGCACCTAGACTTACTCCCAAGGGCACTGAACAATGACCAAGTCAGAGAACATAAAGATAGATATACAGACACAACTATACAGAGGTTGTCGGTAGCCCAGCACTTAAGTAGCATGATCCCGAGCTCAATCTTAAACATGGGAGAGAGGGAAGAGGAGATGAAAAGGAAAATGGAAGCCATGCACTTTGATAGAGTCTGGCATATGCATTTGCAATTCCAGGAGAGAAAAAAGTGACAAAGGAAAAATATTTGAAAAATAATAGCTGAAACTTGTCAGGCTTAATGAAAAAACACATTTATAGATTAATGCTTGAAATTTTAAGTATGATATAGTTCAAGAAAAGTACCTTTTCATATACTGCTGAAATACAAAGATGAAGAATGTATTTTGACATCACCCACATACAAACAATAAGTAACATATAGGAATGGTTTGAACGAGTCCTTAGCAGATAAAAAATAAGGAACAACAAATACTACATTTTTATCCGCTCAAAGAAAGAAAAAGCACCTCCCACCACAATCAGTTCATAATTCTAAATCAAAAAAGGACTAAATATAATAAACAGAAGCATTGACAGATTAGCAAAGAAATAAGAGTCTATCTGAAGTTAGTCTGGTAAGAATGATGGAAATAATCTTACTGAAAAGTCAGATCTTCAGGTGTCAAAATAGCTTTTACTGAAAATACCTCATCTTCAGAAACTAATTTTCTGCCAACTTTACAACCAAGTCCATAATAGGTCTTGAGAGCATTTAAAGCTATGTACAAAACCTGTTTCTCTACCATGCATTCAGCCTATTTAACTAGCCTTTAAGAATGCAATCTAATCAGCCTTTTCTTTGTTCCAGAATATTGTGTGTGTGTGTTTGTGTGTGTACATTATATGTCATGATGGTCATTTGCTAACAGCAGCCAATAGGCTGAAAACTACCTTAAAGAAAACATGTACCCACCATAACTGTATGTGGCAACAGTAGATGTAATTTCTTCCCTTGTGAACTCCGGTAATGAATTAAGAGTCTTCATTCCTTTTCCATATTGCGTTTTCTATGCTGTGCTGTTCAATAAGCATAGAGCAAAGTACATTGTCGGAAACAGACAAGAGTGGCAGATGGAAGACACAGGAAGTGGAGACTTCAAACTTGGGCTCACTCTTGACCTAAACTATAAACTACTTCAGAAGGAAGACTCTTTTCTTTGATGTAGCACTGACACATTTTCAAGTTATTAAGAATACCAGAAATGGCAAACATGTGATTCAGTATAAAAATAAAAGATTATCCTTTTCTTTTTCAAAATGCATATGATTGATCAAAGTAAAAGTTATAGTCCTATCTTGTGGGCATATGGCACATGTAGATGTAACTCAACACAACTAGAGCATAAAGGATGGGAGGGGATGAAAATCCATGGAAATACCCGAATGTTTCCTTATTTTAACTCTAAGATTCAGAGAAACCAAAGATTCTACCATTCCAGAGAAATGATGCATAGCTGTATTGATAAAGCAAACAGAAAACTAAAACAACATTCTGGTAAATATCCAAGGTAACAGGAGGAACAGGGAAACAAAAGAGGTGGGTCAAAGAGAAATAATGAAGTAACAGACATCAGTCATTAAATTAAGCATAAATTGACCACACTCTCCAGTTAAAAGGCAGAGACTAAAAGCAGAGGTAACACAAGTATCCAGAACATTTAACTGGACATATCTTTTTGTTTAATTGTTTGTTTTTTGAGACACAGTTTCTCTGTGTAGCTTTGGAGGCTGTCCTGGAACTCGCTCTGTAGACCAGGCTGGCCTCGAACTCACAGAGATCAACCTGCCTCTGCCTCCCGAGTGCTGGGATTAAAGGCTTGCACCACCGACGCCCGGCAATTGGACATATCTCTAATATTTCATTGAAAGCCACAAGAGGAAATGAGTCAAAGGTGACACACTATATTCACTGTAAGCACTGATTCAAACTGTAAAACTACCATTTCTTTCTCAAATGAATATATTTAATTCACTGCAATTCCAATTTCATTCTAGAAAGACTGTTTGAAACTGACAAAATTCTCACATTCAAATGAAGGAACAAATGTACCAAGAAAAGCTGAAACAATTTTGTGAGGAAGGGTATGTAAACAAGGAAGATGTACTTCATAGACATTAAGGACGTGTACCCCAAAGGCTTGATAGTGAAAATGATACTGGCCCAGAAAATCGACAAAACAATGAAGAAAGTATAGTCTAAAAATATATTTATACGCTTTGAATGTAAGTTGTTATAAAAAAAAATCAGTGGGAAAAATAAATGACTGGTGGATTTCACTATAGACCATACACAGCAATATATTCTAAATTAACTGCCTAAATTAATACCCAGTAGTTAAAAGGAAGAAAAAAATAGGTGCATAATTTTGTCACTCTGGGAATAAGGAATGATGTTCAAAAATAAAAATAAAAATAAAAAAAGAAATGGAGTAACCATATCAGAACTCAAGATTTCATGCTAATTCTATACACCCAGAGGCTACTGTAATAAAGGTATAATGAAGATAAAGTCATATGTATACAGCGTGGTTTGTTACTGAAAAGAACTAATGTCCAAAACATCTAAAACATTATTCCAAAACAGCAGATAAAGTGCTGTAAACTGTATTAAAAACATAAAAATAAATAAACCCAAAAGCTGGTCAAGAAATTTGAACAGCAAGACAGAAGTTGATCCGAACCAGTGCCTCAGGTCTGGGTGTGGCTTAGACAGGAATTCCACTCACTGGTTCTTACACAGGAGATTGCAAGTAGGGAACTACAAATTAAAGCAACAAGATATAACTTTGTAGTGATTAATGTGAGAAAGAGAAACATTATACCTCCAGAGAGCAATGGGCACACAGGAGTCAGCAAAGGGAACACAGGGGTAAATGAGCAAGTGAACAGTTGAACAGTAAGACTGACGTAAACACCGAGAATAGGTATCTACATGGAAAAAAAGAGCGACAGGCTCACAGTAACTGAAGAAAGCACACGAGGATCGTGAATGGATGACCAATGACAATATACCCTAGAACAAGTAACTTAGTTTAGTGCTAGTTCTAACATTAAAACAAAAGTTAAAAAACCCACTAGCCCTGAACAATGAAGTGAACTTAAAGCAGTTTCCTGGAGGGAAAGAGCAGGAAGGAGCTACAAAGACACAGGAGAAGACTTTTCGAGGTGACTGAAAGTTTATCAAGCTAGTATGTTCTTTTTATGGTGTTGGGGACTGAACGGAAGGCTTGTCATGTGCTGGGAGGTCCCAGCACTGAGCTATGGGCCTGCACCAATATGCTAAATCTTTTAATGATGGCATTTCAATGTATCAAATCAAACATTTTAGGCATCAGGCTAAGGGTAGCAAGGCAAGAGGAACACAAGTTTGTGGCTAGCCTGTGCTGCAAAGTGAGCTCCAGAACAGCCCTAACCACACAGAGGGACTCCAAAAACAAAACAAAATAAAAAACTATACACAAAAATTCCATGTGTTAAAAACGTATACTACATTGAAATTCTGCCTAAAAAGTATTTAAATTACATAAGTAAACATATTGAAAGCCCAGTGGTTGTGGCACACACCTTTAATCCCAGTGCAGGAGGCAGAGGCAGGTGTATCTCTGAGTTCAAGGACAGCCTAGCCTACATGACAATGCTACATAGAGAGACTTTGTCTTGAAAAACCAAGGGGGAAAAAAAAAATATTAACCAACCAAACAAATCAAAAGAGTTGGGCACAGTACTATGACAGTACTATGCATCTATACAATAATGGTGCACCTATGGAGATGGGGACTGAGGGGAAACAGTAGCTCACAGTCCTGCTTTCCAAGCAAATGTAGTCATAAACAACAAAAGTGATTCCTTGATTTCAAACAAGGTTACACACCATACACACACACACACACACACACACACACACACACACACACCAAACTTACAGCATCTACATTGCAGATATAATTAAACAAATACCTTTCAAACATATTTTACCTGTGTCTGTCCCCTCTGAAATAATGCTGATCCATGAAGTGTTTTAAACATATCGACCTCACAGCTTATATTCCTCAGTGAAGTTAAATCCCGTCCATCACATCTTTAATAAAGCAGTAAAGCCAAATAGAAGTTAGAGCAATCTTTATATATGCCATTAAGTTCTCAACATCAGCTGCCTACAATAACTTGTCAGTATTGCAAATAGTAGTATAAATACATGAGTTCCGATTCAAGTCCACTGAATCAGTGTCTGGAGGTGTGATCTGTACATCAAGAGAGAATCACAGCCATAGAATCCATCTACTTGTCAACAGGTGCTCACTTATAAGATGAATGCCAGTTCCCTCAATGGATGCTCACTTATAGAGTGAACCCCAGTTCCTTCCTTTAAGTAAGCTGCTACTTTCAAGGAAACCTGCAGGCATAGCACCTGCTTCAGTGTTATCACAGGAGGGTATGTTTACCTTTTGTATTCATTCAAAATAATACTTCTGAAAACCTCCTTTGCAACAACATTGAAGGATTCTATTATTTCAAATTGGTCGACGTCTGGAAATTTTTCTATAGAAAAGAGACAAATCAAAACAAATCAAACACTTATCCTTTGGGAAGATAAGTTCTCAGCATAAAATCAAGTATTGTGGGCATAAACCAAGGAAGATGTCTTAACAGTTCTCAGGCAAACAAAGCACATTAATCAAAAGCTCTGAGGCCAGTCGTAGGAATTTAGCTTGTATATTTTACCATTCCTGTACTGCCATGTTCCCTGACAATACAGGCACCTGTATTATGAAGAGGGTTAGTTAACCTTCAGTTATCTTTTGCTTTGTGGACATTTATTTAATAATCTGCAAACTGAGGAAAAATCTTCTTTGATTACAAATTCCTGCTAGTTGCCTTTTTTGGCTACCATTTACCAACTATTTTCATGAGCCAGGCTCTTTACAAGCATGTTTTACTTGGAATGCCTCTAACATTCATAGCAGCTTACAAGGAAAAGTCTGTTGTTAGTAACTAGAAAGAAAAGGCTTAAAGAAGTAAAGTAGGGCTGGGGCTACATCGGTGGGCTGCTTGCCTAGCAAGTGCAGGACTATAAGAAAAAGAAACAACCCTGAGATCACACAGCACATTTCTAGAGACCATCTAGCTGTGACATAATACTTGCCTGCCTCACAGGCTTATGCTTTTAAACGTCATTACATTGCCTTTCACTAATACCATGGACCAGTGTCTTGCTTTATTAAGCAATGTATAACTTTAAAGTAATTTGAAAGACATAGTATATCTTCATCATGCAACAAGCATTCCTCTTGGTAGTGCCTGGCAGAACCCAGGGTTCACACACGAGAAGCAGGTTTCTATGAAACCACATTCCTAGGTCAGAATACTTCTGTTAGTTTTGCCTTTTCAAGACAGAGTCTTGCTGTATAGCCCAGAATGGCCTTGAATTCACAATATGACCACCTGAGTGCTGGGATTATAGGCCTGAACCAGGATCTCTGATTAATTTCTCATTCTCTAAAAAACATATTGCTCGTTTGACTGTTTATATGTAAGCATAACAAATGTGTATGGTGTGCATGCCATGTATACTTGTGGAGTCAGAGAACAACTGTGTGCAGTCAGTTTTTTTCTACCACATTGATGTGAATTTCAGGGGTCAGACTCAGGTTTCCAGGCTTCCCAGCAAGCATTGTTATCTGCTGACCCACCTTGCTTACCATAATTTCTTATTCTTGATAAAAAGAATAAAAATTTATTTGAAGATAATTATGTGTAATGGCATAAACATAAATGCAACATTAAAATTTTTACTTTAAAATCTGATAAACACTCCCACAAGAGGACACTTTTCTCTTGGTGGAAAAATTATTTAGAACTATATGTCAATCTTTCCTTATATTTCAGGTGTTACAAGAATGATGTTATATACTCTCTGATGGGAGATATCATTCTGTAAATATGTTTCTTATACTGGTTAATGAATAAAGCACTGTTGGCCAATAGGAAAGCAAGATAGGCGGGACTAGGAGACAAGGAGAATTGGAGGAAGTAGTAAGGAGGAGTTAACATGGAAAGACTGGGGAGACCAGATGCCCGCCCCACTCCCCAGTAAGATGAGACCACGTGGAAATACTTAGATTAACAGAAATGGGTTAATACTTAAGACAGAGCTAGCCGATAAGAAACTAGTACCTGGCATTATATTAAATATAGCATCTCTGTGTGTTAATTGGGGCTGGCACGGCGGTGGGCCGGGGGTGGGAGGTGACGGGGACCCTACTCCTTACAACTCTCCTTAGTGATCTGTGGATAGTTATCCCTCTTGTGATTCCAATGTGAGGAATAACAGCAATAACATCATGTTGAATGATGGCTATGTGCCAAATATAGGTGCAAATTGCTTACTTGATATCTATGGGTATTATGTTACAGGTGATAGTCTTAAAAATGTATTGTTAAATGTTTTTTGTTTTTACTATTGGGGATTTAACACAAGACCGCATGCATGAGCTATATCCCCAACCTGCGATCATTTTTCCTTCTTTCCTTCCTTCTCCTTTCTTTTCTTTATTTTTGAGACAGGGTCTCTCAACATAACCCTGGTTGTTCTGTAATAAAGCAGATCAGACCAGTCTAGAATCAACAGAGCTCCTCCTGCTGATTGCTGAGATTAAAGGTGTGCACCACCACATCCAGATGCTTTCTTTTTTGGCTCAAGAATTTTAAATAATATTTTTTAGGTTTTCAAATGACAGGTTACAGGATTAGCACATTGAGACCCCGAAGCAGAGAAGAATGGAACATTTTGTTCATTATTTACTAGAAGCCTACTCAAGCCAAGTGTTAGCCATACTTAGAATTTAACATGACAGGCAACCACATGGTCTATCATCATTACAGATAAAACTGAGGAACTATGAGAATAACTGAGGTTTCTTACCACTGATATTTGAAAACAAATCTACATTAAAAAAAAAAAAACCACAAATCAATGTTTTCCTTTCAATCTCTTTAAAAAATGAAAATAGAATTTACCCTTTAGTTGCTCCTCTGTATCTAGTCTTATCTTGTTAATGGCTTCATCTCTAGAAATCTAAAACAGCATTAATGTTAAAGTATATAAATATGAAACATTTTCATTTCCATTTTCAATGCTATACAAACATTGCACTATAAGAACAATAACCTTCCTTAAAGGTTAAAATCTGATTTAATTAATTTAAATTATATTTGTACATTTCCTTAAAATGTATATTAACAAAAGATTAGAAAAACAAACAGGTAGGGTTTGACATAGCCGTATAAAGGATAGTCCAGTTGGAGGTGACTGTATAAGCAGTAGGGACTAGGAGAAAGAAAGGTACCAGAAAGGAAGCAAGACACACACAGGATATGGGCGTGAGTTCTCAAAGGAGAATTGCTTTATTAATATTCTTTTTCAGAGATTTATTTATTCTCTGCAGTGCTGCCAATCCACCAAAGGGCCTCGTGAATGTTGGACAACTGTTATACCACTGAGCCTCATCCCCAGCCCTGGCCAGAGAGTTCTTAAGGACAAAAAGGACGAATGTACAAACACAATCATATGAGTTACAACAAAAGTCTATAAAACAAATTTAAGGTATACCTACTTTATCATGTTCATAATCTGTAAAAACTGCATAGAGTTTCTCCATGGCGATGCTATTAAGTATAAAATAAATGTTAGCAAAACAATAATTGAATTATGACATTATGACTGAAACAAATATTAAACAACAATGAACTGCAAACTAAATAATTAGTACTTCAGAAAGGTTAAATGTTGCTGCATGTCACTGCTACATGCTTATTATAACCCAGAAGAGATTTTTTTTCCACCTTTTAGGCAAACCACTCACATGCACTATGCCCCCTCCCTCTTCACTGTTCATCTAATTCCAATTCAGAGTCACTTGCATGTGCTGAATGTCTCCCTGTTCTAAGCACTGCTAGGCACTGTCTCAGCCCTGGGCATAGGGCTGGTTCAAATCCATTTCTTGTTGAGAAATCCAACAATTTCCTAGATATTCAAATATCATATGTTTTATTCTCCTTTCTCTATACGTGAAAAGATAAAAGATCTAATTTCTGTTTGTCTTTGTTTCTTTTGGAGACAGGGTTTCTCTGTGCAGCTCCTGGAACTGGCTCTGTAGACCAGGCTGGCCTTGTTCTCACAGAGATCCCCCTGCCTCTGCCTCCAGAGGAGGATTACAGGTGTGCGCCACCACCCAGTAAAGGAACTGGTTTTTAAACAATAAATGCCTTTCCTTTACACTTGAGGTTTAAATTTAAGTCGTGGATTAAGTTTATGCAGTATGCTGGGTTTACCCACCTGTGGGCATCAGGTAGATATTTATTATAATGACTTAAAGTAGGAAAGTGCTACATGGAAGCAATACAAAGTACATGCCCTTAGAGGAAAGTGAACCTGCTGACAATTGCCCATCTGCACAGGTGTTCTTACTTATGAGTATATTTCACCATCTCTGGTGAAGGGGTGAATATCTTCTGAGGTGTCCTCTTGGCAGCACCAATTTCTTTTACCAACTGCTGGATGCCCTGAATTATCTGCTGGGTATACTTCACTCCAACTTTGATAGCATGGCAGAAGTCCTGCTGTAGAATGTTTTCTGCAGAGGCTTCCAACATAACTAGAGAGAGTAAGGGAAAAATTACTGTCTGAGAACCTTTCACCAATAGAATATTTTTAAGTGAAAAATAGAGGCACAAATAACAAAAGCAGTACAAGTTAAAGTAAAATCCAGAATGAATATATTTAAATTATTTACCAATTTGGCTTTTAGGTGCTCCAGCAACTACTAAATTTAAAGTACTAGAAGACATTTCTTTCCTTGTTGGGTTAACAACACATTCTCCATCAATTATTCCTACTCGTACTGCCCCTAAAACATATTAAAATGTTAGCAATTATTTAATTAAAACTTGCTGTTTTGACAGTATTATTCCAGTAGCAGCTTCAACCCACTGTCTTTCTGACAACATCTCTTATGTTCAGAGAGCACCCTACCCCAACCTCCTTTGCAGGCTCAGTGGGATGTTCTAAATCCCTCAAGCCAAAATTTTTTTTTTTTGCACACTTATTGATGATGCCCTTGCTCTTCTGTATATCCAGACAACTCCATCCAAAGCAAATACTTGCACCCCTCCCCCACTGGTTTGACTTACACACTGGCTACTTTGAGAAGCCCTATATGACAACCTGCCCTTCTATCACTTTCCAAGCATCTTGTCTATGGCACTATAATAGTGCTCTTTGTAAATAAATATTGGTCTCTTCCCCTTACTCATGCTAAGAGAAAGAAAAGCCTTTTTATTCTTTCTATTGCTACTACAAAGATTGCCATTTTCCCTTCAGTGCTTAGCCCAGCAAACTTAAATCTTTAGCAGACAGTATGGTTAGAACTTATAAGAAACTGTAGTTAAAAACAGCTTGAAAGAGTATATAATGTAGCAATTCCCCACTGTAAAGAAAGAAAGGAAACTAAGAAGTCTAGGACCATAAAATCAATAGCACTAAAACAGTATTACTGGTAACACAACCTAAAGCAAGGATGGAAATGTCTGGAAGACCTGCAAGGAATCTTAGACTGCTACCTAGTTCAGCTTCCCAGGAAGTGATAAATCAGCACCAACGACATGCTCATTGTTACTGAGAGAATATAAGCAGTGGCTCATACTTTCAAATTGTAACTTACCAACAGGCCCATTCCAAGGAATGTCTGATAAGGAGAGGGCTACAGAAGCTTTGAAAAGGAAAAAACAAAACAAAACTGAAATTATAGTATTTCATTGCCTTAAAAAAAAAAAAAATCAAGTGATCATTTTAGTTGGTGTTCTTATACTTACCACCATTAATTGCTAGGATATCAGGTTCATTGATGCCATCTACTGCTAGGAGATTACAAATAACCTGGCAACAAGGGAAATAAAGTAAACATACAGACATCAACATCCCCTTGATGTTGGCAGATTATATGACCAATATCCAAACCCCTTAAAGTTAGCTATCATTTAACTAAATCCCTGACACCAGGTATTTAAAATTGCAATTTCCTCATTTTCTTTTCTTAAGGGTATGTGGTGTGCGTGGCTACCAGGCATTGTTGAACACAGAGCTTCATTTTTACTACCAAGTTACATGTCCAGTTCTGTCTCACCTGCGTAAGGAGTTCCTTTTGTACTAGGTATGCTACAGTATTCTGTAAATGTAAACTATGGACTTGTATTATTATCGGTTTATACTGCAGTGATGCATCCATGTTAAATTTTTAAAAGAATAATTTCCTTGAGGCTCTGATATCCTCTCAAAGGTATACTTATCTAGTGCAGTTAATAAAATGGCTACTAAGTATACCTCACTAAAGCATATGATGACCTCATGGAAAGAAAAGAATATTCCAGAAGTATTAGAATATAATAGAAGTTCAGAAGACCTAGAAATAAAGATGTGTTATTAAAATTAGTTGGGATATACTGGCTCACTGCTATAATCTCAGCACTTGAAAGGCCAAGGCAGACAGACTGCTACATGTCTGAGGATAGCCTAGGTTACACAGAGTTCAAAACCAGCCAGAGCTATGAAGATTTAGATCTTGGTTATCAAATAAATAGTTAATTGTCCTAATGGGCTTTATAAATTTGACCTATAAAGTCTACCATTTAGAATGGTTACTACCCATAACTATCACACTGTCATTTATATACATTCATTTATTTCCTAACACAGGATTTTTTAGATTCTCATTCAATCTTCCTAAAGTGTTCCCAACAGTCTCTTAGTCCTATATAATTCAGGTATTAGCTTAAAATGACACCAATCACATACAGTTTTTCAAAGTACTGTCTTTTAAAGTGACCTAAAGAATAAAGCTTTCTTGGAAAGAGTTTAGGGATTAAACAGTTTAAAAACATAATATATGGTAACAAACCAAAACAGAATTTACCTGAGTATCATAAAAATAGCCTGCTGGAAAGAGAGGTCGAATTGAACGATCTGTTAAAACAAAGAAAAAAACATTAAATGGCTCTGACAGAGCTGCTTCAGAATTAAAAGCTACTGAATTAATAGACAGCTGTTGACTATGTTACAGACACAAGCAAAAAGACCATGTGTTAGGAAAATACAGGAAGAAGCTGAAGACTAACAACAGACAGAAAGAAAACATTTCAATTGGTTTACTATGTCTGAGGAATACATATAAATATGTTCAGGCTAGCAAATATTGGGAGAAAAGCTGTAGACAACAAATAATCCCATAATATTTTAGATGTCAAAGAGCTGGAATGTTATTAGGCTGGTGACATTATTTAGTAGTACAGCGTTTGCATGTGAATAGCCCAGGCTTTCACTACCACCACCCGATACCACTCCCAATGACCACCCCTACCACACACCATCATCACACATCACACAACCTACCCCTACCCCACAAACTATCACCACCTGTACCACCAATCATCAGCTCACCACCACCCACCACTACCATCAGCCTACCCCTACCACAACTACCCACCATCATTACCACACCCACCCATACACACATACACACTAATGCCTCTTCCTTCTCAAAAAAGACATACTCCAATAGGTGATAAATACAATGTTTTTAGGAGTTACTAAATTGAACAAAAAGTGAAAAGCCACAATGGATAGATTTAACTGGAAAAAGGCATGGAATTCAAATGCTCAACAGATTCATTTAATCAGTGTTTACTGAATGAATGTCTCTACACCAGGAAGTGGTGGATTCAGTTTTTACTGAATGTCTCTATACTAGGTATAAGGATTTGGTAGTGAAGAAACAAGTTTTTCTTCTCATGCAGCATACATCTGATAGCAATTAGGGAGGTTAGGAGACCCTGTAGAGCAGAGATGAGAAAGAAGTGATGGCAACAATGGCACACTGCATAAGCAGCACCTCTTCTTACCTATTATTCGACTGGTGAGGATTTCTTTGTCAGAAGAACCAATCTCCCTTCTAAGATAGTTTGTGGGGATTCTACCTGCTGCAGCAGCCTTCTGTCTGTAGTCAACCTGAAATAGCAATGAAGACCTAAGGTTCACATCCCAACAACTGCTACAAAAGCTCCAACTTTCCTGAGGCTGCTGACAACATATTCTAGATGACAAGTTGATAATATTTAATTTGTTTTTAGCATTCTTTTAAAGCACTCAGTGGAAGAAGACTGTAGAGAGTGCTTCAACCAACTGATGAAAAAAATCTCTTCACTTGGTAGTCATGCCAAGTCTCACTATTTTCTAAAGTAGCTTACCTTCATCCAGTAAAATAGTGTCCCTTCCTCTCCACTTTGTGCATCAACCCTGTGAGACTTATTTCCTTTCTGCTTATCATGTTACAAAGAAACAAAGTCCTAATAATGAATTCTTTACTTAACATATAGCTGCACACTCAGACTAGAAGAAAATCCATATAGACAATGAATCATTGTTTCCTTAATATCAGCATAGGCTTGGCCCCCCTATGTTCTCTGTTTGAGGTGAGTCTGGGGCCTGTAAGAAAGCTCGAACCATCCAGAGTTACTGACATGGAAGTCCTGACTCATCTTCACCCACTGGGAGAGGAGAGTAGACAGAGAGACCCCACCTGCACCCACGGGGAGAAGGGGTGGGAAGTCAGCAGTACAAGAACACATTCAACAATAGATAGACCAATATGACATCACCAGAATCTAGGGACTCTACACCAACAAGATCTGACTATACTAACACAGATGAAGCAGAAGAGAATGACCTTAAAAACAACTTCATGAAAATGATAGAGGATATAAGAAAATCCCTTAATGGAAGAAAAAAAAAAAAAAAAAAAAAAAACTGGAATAGAGGAAAAGACAAACCAAATGCAAGAAATTAACAAATCTCTTAAAGCAAGGAAAGCAAAAGCAAAAAAAACAAAAACAAAAAAAAAAAAAAAAAAAAAACCAATCAAACAGATGAAGAAAATAATTCAAACAGTTCAAAACCTGAAAACTGAAATAGAGGCAATAAAGAAAACACAAACTGAGGGAATTCTGGAAATAGAAAAGCTGGATAAATGACCAGGAACTACAGATGCAAACATAACCAACAGAATACAACAGTTGGAAGAGAGAATCTCAGACTCTGAAGATAAACTAGAGGAAATAGATACACTGACCAAAGAAAATCTTAAATCCAACAAATCCTTAACACAAAATATTCAGGACCCAAAAACCAAGCAGGTGTGGTTACCTATTATCTAACAAATTAGACTTCAAACTAAAATCAATCAAAAGAGATGAAGAAGGTCATTTCATATTCATCACAGGAAAATCCATCAGGACGAAGTCTCAATACTGAACATTTATGCCCCAAATACAAAGGGACCCACATTTGTAAAAGAAATATTATTAAAACTCAAATCTCACATAAAACCTCACACACTTATAGTGGGAGATTTCAACACCCCACTCTCACCATTAGACAGGACCACCAGATAGAAACTTAACAAAGAAACAAAAGAACTGACAGAAATTATGACCCAATTGGGTTTAATATACATTTATAGACATTCCATCCAAACATATGGAACATTCTCTAAAAATGACCACATACTCTGCAATACAGCAAACAGGTACAAAACATTGGAATAACCCCTGTATCTTATCAAAACACCATGCTTGAAATTTAGAATTCAACAACACAAATTGCAGAAACCCTACAAACTCATGGAAACTGAACAATGCACAACTGCATTCCTGGTTAACGAAAAAATAAAGAAAGAAATTAAAGATTTCCTAGAATTCAACAAGAACGCAGACACAACATATCCGAACATGAGGTAGCAGGAAGATAGAGTCAAGGAAAGAATAGAGGAGGGCCAGAAAAGAGATACCATAATAGAGGGAGCCATTGATAAGTTTTAAGAAAAATCTAGTACTAGGGAAATGTCCAGAGATCTACAAGGATGACTCCAACTAACAATGTAAGCAATAGTGGAGAGACTACCTTAAATATCTTTCCCCAATAATGAGATAGATAACTACCTTATATGCCATTCTAGAGCCCTCATGCAGTAGCTGATGAAAGAAGAAGCAGACACCCACAGCTAAACACTGAGCTGAACTCCTGGAATCCAGTTGCAGAGAGGGAGAAGTGATGAGCAAAGGCGTCAAGACCAGGCTGGAGAAACCCAAAGAAATGGCTGACCTGAACAAGGGGGAGCTTATGGACCCTCGGGGAACCAGCACAGGACTGACCCAGAGCCCCCTGTATGTGGGTCTTAGTTAGAAAGCCTGGGAAGTCTATGGTACCTCTGATAATGGGTCCAGGATGTATCCCTAGTGCAGGAACATACTTCGGGAGCCTATTCCCCATGGAGGGATACTCCCTTAGCCTAGAGACATGGGGGAAGATCCTATGCCCTACCCCAAATGACCTGACAGACTTTGATGATCCCTCATGGAAGGCCTCACACTCCCTGGGGAGTGTATGTGGGTTGGGATTGGGGGGGGGGGTGTCTGTGGGGAACATGGAAGGATGGGAGGGAGGGGAAATTGGGATCGATATGTAAAATAAGAAAAAAAAAATAAAGAAAAAAACCCAACCAACCAAACAAACAAAACATCAATATACTTGCCTAAATCCACTGAGCTGTCAAGCTTGACAAGTGAAGTGAGCTCACTCTTGGCCATCAGCTTATATTCTCTTAACTGACAGAATCTTAGATATGTAAGGGTAATCCTTCAGACACTTGACAAGGTATGACAAAGCAGACAAATAAGCAAATACTTACCACCAGGGGCATGAACTGGGAAGGTGAGGGTTTTGTTCTACTGACTGCTGTAACCATCACTGCAGTGTCACCTGACTTGGTTGAACATATACACAAACACCAGTAAATTTCTTTGAAATCAGAAAATGTGTTAACAGCTATTGATTGAATCCCCACTCCAAATAGTCAATGAAAGATCTCTCTCTTTCTTTTTTGAAATAATGTCTCATAATGTAGTCCTTGTAGGCCTGGAATTCACTATAGACCTCAAACTTACAGAGATCCACCTACTTCTTCCTACAGAGGTACAGAGCCCTGGGTTTAAAGGCCTGCACCACCACGCCTGACTCAACTAAAGAGCTCATATTTCATATGATTATAACAGTGCAATCTTGATCCTTTCTATCTGATCATGATCAGTATTAGAATACTCACTGGGGTTTTCACATGGAGAAATGGCTAATAGCTTGGTCACATCAATAAATCATATTTTTACTCTATGAGGAAATTTTGACTATAAAGAAAAATTTTCAAAAATTACTATGAAAAGCATAATAAAAGCACTTTTTCTAGAAGAAGCATAATAGATTTTATTAACAGTATACAAGAAAGCCCAAAGTTTGGAAGAGATTGTAAAGGTCATTTAATATGCCTGAAACTGACTTTGCTGGCCTAGCATGGCTCTGACACAGAAATACTCAGTGTAGCTGAACTAATTTCCAATACCATACGTTGACCAATGACAAAGATACCCAGTCACTATCACTTCAAAACACAGACTAGTTTCTTACCTGTACCACAGCACATCCATCTGCAAATCTTGCCAGTTTTCCGGAGGATATTTCTAACTTTCTGTTTAAAAAAAAAAAAAAAAAAAAAAAAAAAAGACCCCAGTACAAGTCTTAACTTAGTAAAAATGATTGGAGAATCCAGAAAAAAACAAACAAACAAAAAACAAACAAACAAAAAAAAACAAAAACAAGAGGCTCCCAATCTTTCTAAGTCCCCAACTTCAGAAAAAAAGCCAAAGTATGCAGGATTTGTGATCATCAAAAGCACATGTAAGTGTAGCTTGAAGATGATAGAAACCAAGGCAAAGGACTTATCTGAAGGAAGGGAAAGCATGTCAAGGAGAAAACAGGATTCCTAAGTATTAATTCTCATCTCATGACTCATTGGCTATATAAATCTTAATACATGGACTCTTCTCTCCCCTAATTAAAATTTCCCCATTACTTTCTGGAAAAAGCAGACACTTCTGAATATTAACTACAAAGACCTTCATGTTGATATATAACAGTACTTTGTATATTATGTTAAAAGTAATAGACTTCTATCTTCTGATATATAACAGTATTTTGTATGCTACGTTAAAAATAATAAAGACAGCTGGATGGAAGTGCTCCATGCCTTTAATCCCAGCACTTGGGAAGCAGAGGCAGGTGGATTTCTGTGAGTTCAAGGCCAGCCTGTTCTACAGAGCTGAGTGAGTTTAAGGATAGGCTCCAAAGGTACATGGAGAAACCCTGTCTCAAAAAAAAAAAAAAAAAAAAAACAAAGAAACAAACAAACAAAACAAAACAAAAAAACAATGGGGACTTTTATCTTCTAATAAATAACAGTATTTTTAATGCTAACTTAAAAACTTAATAAACAATAATACTAATAATAATGACTTTCATACTCAACAGTGGTGCAAAAACAATTTAATAGTGGAACAAGAGTCTTTTTTAGTAAAAGGTGTGCAGATGGCTGGATAGCCACATACTACATATAAGGATTCAAACTCAAAATAAGACACTATTCCTTTTGGGTAAAGCTGTTTTAGAGCAAAAATGTAAAACTCTTGGGAAAAAAAAAAACAATAGGAGTGAATTGCCATAAACTTGGATTAAATAATGTCTTTTTTGACACCAAAAGCCTAAAAAATGCAGGGCAAAATGTATCTTATGCAAGTAGACACCAGCAGCTCTTGTCTAGAAATGTCTACAAGGCACAGGTGTGTAAATAACTTAGTTCTAAAAGTAAAAAGGTATGACCTATAAACTTATCAAATATATTGAGAACATATAAATGAACACATGGGTACAGTTGTGTAAGAACTCATTAAACTCAGACTATCAAGGAAGCATGCAACACTCTCACCTGGACCCCCCAAAGGACATCAAGACCATTAGTGATGAACCCACTGATCTGCTGTCTCATTAGTAGAGACATGACTGTTCCTAAGGCTTCAGCCAGTTGAGCTGGCTGATATGCCCTGTTCGAACTGTCATTACAGTCATAGGCCTACATATCTGTATGCCCCCCCCCAATCTGGACTCAGTTATGACCCTCAGCTCTCTGGCCCTATGGGCCTCTAGCACCTGTACAACTGAGACTCCTTGAACTAGGCAGCGTCATTAATTCTGTAGTCACCGTGTATACAAAAAGTTATTTTTACTGTGTAATATGTAATCTGAGAGTTGATATTAGTAACTGCCAGTGGAATAAAATAAACAGTGTTTGCTGAAAGCCAACTTGTATAAAAGTAAACTGGAACTACCTGGCAAATTTCAGCTAACAGAACTGGTATACTGTGAATTTATTGTTACTCAATGAATTCTGATACAGAAAGACAGGATGATTAGGTTTCAGGAACATGTACATTGCCAAGAAAACTTAAATTTATGTTTTTTTTTCCTTGTTCACTTTGCCTCTTATCAATTTACTTTTCATTTTTATATGGATAAAATATCTCCAAATGCATGAGGATCCATACAACATGGGTGGCCTCTAGGGTTTGAAACTGGGGGTTATGGGATCAGGTGTCAAAGCTTTAAGGTTTTAATATGTTAAGCCATGTGAGCAGGACATAGTGAGACGAGAAGAGCAGAATGATGCTAAGGAAAGACAGGGGAAGCTGCCTGCCACAGAAAGTGGAGCTTCTGGGGGAAAATATGTTTACTTTTGTATTCATTTATTCGTTCATTCATTCAGTCTCTCCTTTTCCGTCTTTGTGCAAGTGCCCTAGTCTTGTTAATTCTGAGAAATTTTACTCCTTTTAACCCTTTGTTGTCTTAACTACAAAATGAAGGCAATCCTTCACTACGGGTTTAACAGGGCTGTGTGCATCATATAACTGGTATTCAACAAAACGACGGTCCCTTCCCACTCTGGCCTCGCTTTTGGCAGAACTGAGCTGGGCACACTCTGACAACGGGTTACCTCGAGGTGGCAGGTTTCCTTCCCACTAGAGAGCCCGAGATCTCGGGAAGAACTGAGAGAGGATGTCAGGGGCACAGGCAGGATCAGACTCAGAAGGAAGTGCACTACGGAGCTAGGGATTGGATCAAGAAGCAAAGTGCAGTGGCCAGCGCGGGAAAGGGGAGAGCCCAGGGAGACAGACTGCAAATCCGGTAAAGGAAATCTCGAACCCAGGTTTGGAGCAGAGAGGTTAAGAGACTCAAGCTGCTGTAGTCCCATCCTGGGGAATCTGGCTACCAAGGCTGGCTGGACCGGACACCGCGTGAAAAGTCCGCGAACTCACGCCGCTCCTTACCTGTGGCCCAGGTCCACAGCTACAGCTCGGGACCCGGTGCTGCTCCTGCTCCATAGTGCTCGCACCTGCAAATAGGTGAGTGCCCGACTCAGCCCAGGCCGGCCTAGGGGAGCGAGAGGACCGCAGCGCAGGGGCCGGAGCCGCAGGTACGAGCAGCACTGCCTGCAGGCCGCCATGACACTCTGCGCGCGCGGCCCGAGCGGCGCCTCATTGGCCAGTCCGCGTGTGGGCGGAGCCTGGATACCCGGGTCAGCCTTGGCTGCCTCCTACGTAGACCCGAGGGGGTCAAACCACCCGAACGCGTTCTTGTTCAGCTGTTTTTCTTTTTTTCTTCTGTTCTTACGAGTGAAAAAATAAACACTTTGAAAAAAATTAAACAGAATTAAAGAAAGACCTTTAAATAACCTCTCTCTCTCCCCCTCTCTCTTGCTCTCCCTCTCTCTCTCTGTCTCTCTCTCTCCCCGGTTTAAAAGAAAGTCTTAGCGTGTTTAATACAAATATGTAACAGTAAATAAGGACTAAACAACCTATTATTATTTGGTTTGGTTAAGTAAGGAGGGCATGGGAAGAAATCCTCTCATCCAGTGGCAGCCGCCTGGAAGTAATTCCACCTTTTGGAGGCTCATACTGGAATCCATCGGCCTCTCAGTCTTACTAGACTTGCTTGAGAGCTCCAAGTTCAACAAGACACTTTGACTCAAAAAGTAAGTGGAGTGTCATTAGGCAAGACACCTGATGTAAATCTCTGGCTTCTACAGGCAGGTGCACAGGATGCCAGTGCACCTGCAAACACGTGTATCCACACACATGCAAACTTGCATACACATACACACAAATACCATACATGCATACATACATATGAAAGACCCCCAGAGACCCCAAGAGTTTGGAGCCTGTCAGGGGGAAGGCCCTTGCCCCCAAGAGACGAGACCAGACCACTGGATGCAAGTGCAAGAGGTTGTTTATTGTTTACACAGGTACCTGTGGACGCTTCAGTCTTTCGGGGGACTGAGCGTGCTGAGGTTAAAACTCAGGCAGTTTATATAGGGTTGGGGTGGCAAGAAGCAGGCTTACAGAAGCAGAAGCATGGTTACAGGGATTTCATTGTTTCATCTAAATGTAGCAGTTGTAGTTAACCAAGGACAGTTGGTTATTCGGGTTGGGCACAAAGAATACAAAGAATTCAGTTATGACTATCTCAGCATACTGGACACTGTCCTGCTGACCTTGCTTTGGTCCAAGCTGTAGACCACAGATATCTGGTTGGCGTTGGATGAGAGCAGCACCTGGTTCCCTCCTGTACTTTTCTCATAACTTGACCTTGGCAAATTAGCAAGAGCAATTTAAACAGGCAATAAGCATAGTGGGGGTCTTTCACATACATACATACACAAACAAACAAATCAACTCCTTTTTGAGAACCCCTTGAATACATTAGCTTTTGTTCAGTTGTAAATGTTGGAGAGGTGCATAAAAATGATTGAGTCTATCTTTGCTTATGTCAGTCTAAAAGAATAGTAATTGAATCATAAACTCAAATGCTAATTGCAAGCATTGAGATCTGTGGCAGAGCTTTTGTTTCAGAGTATGTTTATGCTAAGCAGTTTTAGATTAGTATAGAGACAGAAATATAAAAAGTTTAAATTCTTGTGGCTGTAGCAACTGAAACTGTTTTCTGAGGTTTTCACATTCTAGAAGTATAGTTCATCTAAATATGTTCCACAGCTACAGTATAATTTAAAAGGACTTTCTCTATGACTCTTGGAGAGTATTAGAGATGATTTCATATAAATCCACCAGCAGTGTTTCCTATATCCCCCTTTCTCCTTTTTCTTTCATCAAAATAATACCACTGTGTGCTATAGGTGGCAATTTTATTAAAGTAAAACATCATTGCATTAAGATATGCTCAATCAAAGAGTAATTTGGTTTAAGGTTATATACATTTATTTTAATTTTTGTTTTCCCCTTTTTCTGAGATGACTATTCAAAAACTGCAAGAGTAATGAATCGGACATCTTATTACACATTTGTAGACATTTCACTAACTTGTAACTCAGTGGACACTGAGGCATGTAAGAGAGCTTACTTTTTTTGTTTGTTTGTTTTGTTTTGTTTTGTTTTGTTTTTGTTTTTTGAGACAGGGTTTCTCTGTATTGCTTTGGAGCCTGTTCTGGAACTCCTTCTGTAGACCAGACTGGTTTTGAACTCACAGAGATCTGCCTGCCTCTGCTCCCCATGTGATGGGATTTAAAGGCGTGCGCCATCAATGCCCAGCAAGAGTTTTCTCTAGAAAGAACACAATCTACTTTAAAACACTGCTTTTACGGCCTCCAAGATTGCTCATCCCTTTCTTACCAAGCTTGATGGTCTGAGCTTGATCCCTAGAATCCACATAATTGATAAAAGGAGAGAGCAGACTCCAGCAGGTTGAACTCTGAACTCCATAGAAGTGCAAGGACACACAAATAAAAAAGTAAAATCTTAAATATTGCCAGTTGATAGTGGCACACATGCCTTTAATCCCATCACTCAAGAAGCAGAGACAGGTGGATCTCTGAGTTTGGATTAAAGGCATGTGCCATCAATGCCCAGCTCTACTTGGTTTATATGAACTTTAATTTTTCAATATGCCTATTAACTCCTTTTAATACTCTGAATAAACTGAATATACTCCCTTGCAATGTAGAACTTTTTCTCATGTCTTTGCCTGTATGTCTGTGTGCTCTGCACACACATCCTCCCTCCCATGTGTCAGTCTGGTGAACTCAGTGCTTAATCAGATGCCCTGTCCTTCCCCCAGGCAGACACACAGATGTTGTGGATCACATGATGACCTGTCCAATCTATATCTGGCTGTCTGGACAGAAGAAAAAATGTCAATATTTTTAACCCAAAGCTGTAGCTCTTGCTAGGATTTCAAAGGCATGAATCTACTCCAGTTGTTTTACAGATACCAGTTAACTAACTTTTCTACAATGTGAATTTCCGTACAGATTGCAAACAATGGTAATGCTACCATATCAGAAACAATTTGTAACCTTAAGAAGGTTCTTGTAAGCTTCAGGCAATGGACTTGGATCCATCTCTCAAACAGACTCCAGATAAGCACTCTCAGTCGGTAGCCTGTTTCCTCAGCTGCCAGTTGCTGACCAGGTGGGAACTATTCCCTTTCCTGATTTTGGGACTCCCTTCACCCAGCTACTAGGACCGAGGGCCTGGAAGTTTCAAATGTGCAACTAAAAGAAAAAAATAATTTTATGTTCTGTCACTAATATGTATCTATTCCAGCAGATTTCCAATCAAAGACTACACACTACTTCAACTGCTGTCTAACACTGTTCCTAGCTCCAGAAGTTCCTCAAGAACTTGGGCAAGACTAGACTGATAGCTGGGAAGCCAGCATGGGACTGACTCAGGCCCCCCTGAATATGGGTCTCAGCCAGAAGGACTGAGCAGTCTAAGAGACCTCAAACAGTGGAGCCAGGATGTATCCCTGGTGCACAAAAGGACTTTGAGAAAATATCCCCCATGGAGGGATAACTGCCTTAATCTAGAGACAGTAGAGAAGCCCTAGTCCCTACTTTACATGACCTGTCAGATCTACATGACCCCAACTGTATGGCATTCCCCTACATATGGAATTGGGGTGGGTGGATGGGAGGGGAGGGTGTTTAGAGTGCATGTGAGAGGGCAGAGAGGGTAAAAGGGAGGGAAGGAGGGAGGGAGGGAGAGGGAACTGGGATCAACTTGTAAAATAATAAATTAAATTAAAAAAATGCTTTGACTCCAAAATTTAAGTTGAAGGACAAGTTACTAGGGAAAAGGATTTCTATTTTTGTTTCCACAGAAAATGAAAAGATGTGGATTCCTTCCAGACTAATGTGGTTTGATCATGCCAGACCGCCTGAAACAGAGTACAAGCTGATCCTACATTCAAAACAGCTGGACAAAACAGCCCTACAGACTACAGCCAGGATATCTGAATCTTCTTCGAATCCCCCATGACAGCGCTCCTTAACAGCAGGAAGTAGTTTGGAAAGAACGATGCCCAAATTCCCAAATATTGTGTATAAATGTTTGTTTTCATTTAATTGGACTTTGTTATATAAAATTAAATAAAATAAAAAAAAATGAACTTGGGCAAGTAAAACAGGTGCTTTTCCTGGATTTAGTCAGCATTCCAGTGAAAGGATGAAAATACAGCCTAACTCTCTAATGACCACTAATTAGAAATTTAGAAAAAGTCCATCAGCATGTATTTAAAAATCACCCTAGCTGCATGCAAAGCTCAGGAAAAAAGAAAAACACATGAAATAGCTTGGTATGACTGGTATCTGGAAATTATCATTATTATTCATAACCACCTAGTTTCTGAAGAATGTTGTTATCCACAACAACAGTCTGGGAATTGTTATGGGTCATCCTATCCACAAAGAAAATTAATAACTAAAAGAAACGGGACTCATGGCAAGAAGGGAAAACTAGAACGAACAAGTGTCTCTGCCAATAGATATAGATAACTCCCTGACTGGAGAGTACATTCTCCTAGCTGTTCAAGGACAAGGCCCCTGAGAAAGAAAACCCCCTAACCTTGCAGGTGCGCTAAACAATCCCCCCTTGTAAAAACTGTGTACTCTATGAAATCTCTGTAACATAGGAAACCTTATTAACCATTCCAAGTTTTGAATTATCCCATGACCTTGCTTTTAGTCATAATGAAAATAACAGGCTAGCTTTGAAACTGGCCTTGTTAGCTTTGATGTAAATCCTATAAAAGCTATTTCAATTCTGTCCTCGAGGTCCTCAGTCCTCTATCCCTGCATATGACTGTGGACCCCAGTGCACTGGAATAAAAATTCCTCATGCTATTTGCATCGAGACCGCTTCTTGTGAGTGATTTGGGGTGTCACCTTTCCTGAGTGGGAACGTGAAGGTCCACGCTCTGCAGGTCTTTCACCAGCTCTTTAGGTCCTCAACTATCACACCCTAGTGTCGACAAGAAGTAGTCATAGGTGGATGTCATTGTCCCTGATCATTCACTTACTATCAGCACAAAGAGTAAAGTGTGAAATTTCAAACCCAAGACAAGAGGCTATGATCAAAGGTCAAAGCTAGACTTAGCTGCCAGGTTTTCCCAGCATCATTCAGTCCCTATCTGTTACTGGGTATGGCTCACATACCCTGCCCTTGA